AGTCGTCCGTCGTTGCAGTCGTCTAGCTTGCCGAATCTACGGGCTTCTAATTAAACCTGATTTATTCAATGTTTTAAAAAGGACAGGACTGCTTTGAAGGTGATTTTGTATGCTGTTTATTATCTTTATTGCAATTAGTTTTATTATTAATTTAGATGCATAAAGGCTTCAGAAGATCAAAAGGTGTCCAATGATAAGAGTGATAATTAATTTTGTGAGAAGGAAAGTTTGGGACACAAGGAAACTCACTTTTAGCTCATAATTTATTATATTATAGGTACACAATTTTTTCTACCATCATCCAGATAATGCCACCGCTCCTTTAAAAGAACGCCATACAAAATACTGGTTTTCACAGTCTTTATGAAGAATCCTCTTTTTGTACCTATTCTGAATTAAATAATCAACCATACTCAACAAGCATCGCTATTGCCTTTTAGCCGTGTGTAAAATATTATTGCCCTCTATCATTTTCTGAAGAAGCATGGACAATTGAAAGTGGGTGCAAATTGTTTCATTACCATTAAATTGTTGACATTCGGTAGTATAATATCGTTTCATCTTTTAGTTATTGAAAGAAACTCCTAAAAGTTCATAAATTGATTTAAGAAGTAGAGGATTTGCAGGAAGATGAACTGTAAGACAATATTGTTATTTTACCGCCTGGTAAAGCAAAGAATACAGATGAAGACTTGGATTCTGAAGATACGGTTGTCATAAATAACCTTCCTGGCAGAAGTAGAAACACTGGAGAATTTAGACGATTTTTTGGTAGAATGTGATGAATATGATAGCGAAGATAATCTCCTATTGTCTCCTATATGTCTCCAAAAAATGCAAAAAAAACACCAAAGAATTAAAATCAAAACAAAAAATAGAGAGGAAGTAGATAAAAAAAGGATATGTAATGTTACTGCAACTGAAATTTGATGTTTCGTAGGTGTTTTATTATGTATGTAGATTTGCTAAAACGTTTACTGATTTGGAAGAATTCAAAAAACTGCTAAAAAAATCATGATTTCTCCACATTTTTTATTGGCTATACAGTAAAAAAATATTTGTTAATTTTAACCAAATATTAACCAGATTTTATGTTAATCTAGGTCCATATAACTTTATGTTAAGTTTACAACCAACTGTAATCTGTTAATTGAAGTTTGTAGATTTAAAAACAAAATCCTATGTCAATAATTCAACCATAATTCTTGTAATTTTCAAAAAGGACCTTATTTTTATATACCTTTTTGTAGACCCAGTAACAAAAGTATTTATTGGGAATTAGAAACTTAAATGAAAAAAATATTGATAAGAAATGTTAATTAATCAATTTCCTAAACAAAAAAATTAACACGTACCTACATAAAATGAACACACAATTAAATAACACACCATTCTGAAATCATCAAACTTTAAAGAAATTTGGTACAATATAATTATCAGTACTACTTAAACACTTACTGATGAATTTCGTAACAATAACCCACTTCACTGTATCCACTAATTTCAGTTTGAAAAAAGTGATGGCATCTTTTTCGGATTCTTCGCACTTTGCACACTCGTTAAAATTTTCTTTATTATGTTGGTATACATGCCCCCGAAGTATGATAAAAACTTTAGCTGTTTTCATTGTTTACTTTGTCTGTGGCAGCCGCTAAGGTTAGACGTGTTTTATGGGCTCGGCAATTTTCGTTCGTTAAAAGAAATGGATCAAAGAATTTGTATCCAATTTTGCTTAAAAAATAAAATAAATTCTGTCAAATGTTAACAAACGCCTATAGTGAGTCTGCTATAAGTAAAACAAGAGTTTACAAGTGGTATAAGAGTTTCCAAGATGGCCGTGAAGACGTTGAAGATGACGAACGCCCCGAACGCACAAGCACATTAACAACCGATAAAAACATGGAAAAAGTGGAAGAAATGGTTATAAACCATCAGAGAAGTCGCTGATGATGTTGGTATATCGATTGGCTCATCCCATGAAATTTTTTCGAATATTTTGGGTATGAAACGCGTGGCAGCAAAATTTGTTCTAAAATTGTTAAATTTTGAACAAAATTTTTGGCCAAAAACAATACTGTAATGATGCCCCAGCCTCCATATTCGCCAGACATGCCTCTGTCTGACTTTTTCCTATTCCCAAAAATAAAGAGAACCTTAAAAGGCCGTCGTTTTGCAAGCATAGATAACATTAAAAGCGCATCGCTGAAAGAACTAAAGACTATACCGAAGATCGAGTTTTAGAAGTGTTTCGAGTATTGGAAGAAGAGCTGGCACATGTGCATAATATCCAACGGGACTATTTTGAAGGCGACAACATTAATGAAGACGAATAAATAAATATTTTTTTCAAAAAACGAAAATTCCCGATATTTTCTGAATACACCTCGTGTTATAAACACTCTGGACAGTTGTTACGAATTAGAATAAAGTAAGCAGAAACATAAGTTGCAGACGCAGAAGTCAGTTGAACTTGTTGATGCGTTTTGTCAGTGGAAACTGTTTTGATTGACTTCCTGAAATCACTTGTACTTTTTTAAAATAATAACTTGTTAAACATTAATAAAAAATCTGTCACCTTTGAAATTAACATAATGCTTACAAAATAGCATATTACCTTTACAAAACTTTTGGTAAAATATTTTGTTTTGTTAAAACAATTAAAAACCCTGGTTTTATAAAAAAAATTGTGTTAGAATTTTACAAAATAAAATTAACAAACTACAAACTCATGTTAACAAATCTGATTTTGGCTTTTTAATTCCATTTTCGGGAACCTTTTACTCGGGCAAAACTTCTACTTTACAGCGAGGGGCAAAATAATTAATATGGAATCTTAAATGTTCGTCGTCATAATGAAGATATAACAATTTCAATTAATTCAATAAGTGTGCATAAGGGTCGAAATCGCTATACGCACTTTTACGATAATTGCAATTTTGAACTCATTACTTAATTATTTCTATCGTGGCCCCGGTGAAGGGAGCTTTCGACGTTTAATATTAAGAAATAAATCATCACCTTGCAGCAGCCCGTCCTGTGTCCCTAGTTTTCATCTTTTCCATGTAAATTTAATGCAAATTAAAGTGACGAATTAATTAAACTTGATTAAAAAATGTCCTGAATAACAAGCGAATAATAATTAGTACGAAACTTAATTTAAAAAGCCCATTTGACTGACTACCATCATTTATATAAAAAGTACACAAGCGAGTTTTTAAATTTTAATTTAAAATAAAAGTATCTAAAGCTTGTTTTGACTTCCACAAATGTTTATCCTGAGATGCTTTAATTCCATCAGGAAGTGATGGAACAATTAAGTAAATCATTATTTAAAAAGTTTTACAACATGTGCTTTGACGACCTTGAAGGGATACAGCTGTAACAGTCGTGTGAAGACTTACAAATATGCATAAATAAATATATGAACATTACCAATTTTGTTGACAGTTCAAATAAAAAACAATTAACAACAAATTTTAATATAAAGTTCTTAAAATTTAAAATTCAAACCTCTAGTATGTACTTTACCGCAATTTTCAAACGATTTAAGAACCTTGAAGAATATCAACATAACCTAGAAACAGATGTCGAATATTTAACTACATAATTCATTCGTAACGTAAAATACTATATTTTTAAGATAGTCATATTTAGCTTAACAGACATTCTTAATACATATATCTTTATATAGCATACTTAAGACAGTCATATTAAGCTTAACTTAACATTCTTAATACATTGTCATATATCTTCAGATGGCAATGTTAAGACAGTCATATTTGGCTTAACTTAACATTCTTAAGACATTGTCATATATCCTCAGATGGCAAACTTAAGACAATCATATTTAGCTTAACCTAACATTCTTAAGTCAGTCATATTTAACTTGACTTGACATTTTTAAGTATAGCTAAACTTGACAGTTTTAAGACAGTTAAATATAGCTTAACTTGACATTCTTAAGACATTCAAATTTATCGTAACTTGATGTTCTTAAGATATTCATATTTAGCTTAACTTAATATTGTTAAAGCAGTGAAATATATCTTTAGATGATAATCTTAAGAGTCATATTTAGCTTAACTTAACATTCTAAAGACACTGTCATAGAGCTTTAGATGGCAAACTTAAGACAATCATATTTAGCTTAACCTAACATTTTTATTTACTCTTTGACATTTTTAAGTATATAGCTAAAGTTGAAAGTTTTAAGACAGTTAAATATAGCTTAACTTGACATTCTTAAGGCATTCAAATTTATCCTCTTGATATTCTTAAGACAATCATATTTAGCTTAACTTAACATTCTTAAGACACTGTCATATATCTTATATATCAGATGGCAAACTTTAAACAATTATATTTAGCTTAACCTAATATTCTTAGGACAGACATATTTAACTTCTTGACAGCTTAACTAGACAGTTTTAAGACTGTTAAATATAGCTTAACTTGACATATTTAAGACATTCAAATTTATTCCAACTTGATATTCTTAAGACATGACAATCTTAAAATACATTTAGCTTCTTGTGACACATAAGACAAATGAAGTATATGCAAAAATAAATATATAAACATAACCAATTTTGTTGACAGTTCTAATATAAAACAATTATCAACGAATTTTAATATAAAGTTCTTAAAATGTTGTTTTAAATTTAAAATTCGCACCTTTGATATGTACTTTACCGCAATTTCTAAACGATTTAAATACTTTGAACATAACCTAGAACGTAAAATACTTCGTTCGTAAGTCTTGACACGTCTGTTATACCAACCATCACGCTAGTGAGAGAATTTAGCGATTTTAAAAAATATTTTTTTATAAAAGAAGTGCTTTTACTGATTTTTGTCCCAATCCCATGGATTAAAATTATCTTGTATGCAAGCAGAACTTTTAATTTTGCTAATGAACATTTGTTTGATCCGAAAAGGTAACGGTACCGATAATGGGCGATTTAAAATGACATTTGGTCGAACAAAAGTCCCCGAATTACCTTTGAGATTAGCCTCGGATTGATCCATGCCGTTTTGACATCATTATCGAGCAATTTATAAGACTGCTTTGTGATAAGCATCGGAATGTCGGAGCCGCATGTCGCTGGATGATGAGACATCTGGGGATTCTGATAATTCAGCTGGTGCTGAAGCTGCAGCTGATTCCTGCCGGTGCCTACTTCCACGCTCGGACCTCCCGATATTGTGCTAATCGTTATCTGTTCTTTGGGCTTGTTCGTCCTGCTGCAACAAAAAATACGACAGCTTAGGATTTGATTTGAATTTATGGTCGTGCAGTTGGTTTTTTTGCTGAAATGAGATCGTGGTTTAATTTTAGATTAACAGGTTTTATCTGTGACTAACAACGTTTGTTTTTAGTTATCTGATGATTTTTTTGCTGTATTACACGGCCCTACAAAATAATGTTAGCGTTAAATGCATGTATCTATCTATTTAGAGACTGCATGGTTAAATGGCCAATAAAAAGAAATAAATATGCAAAAGTTATTAAAAAAATTTATAGACAATTTTTTTTTATAAAAGTATCAATGGCGCAGAGATTGGACATCCGCTTGACAACCAAGAGACCCGAGTTGGAATCCCAGCTGGGTGAAACTTTTTAAAATTTTAATCTACTAGTTTTTTACTTTTTCATTTGGTATAAATTGACTAATTATTAATGGTAGCTTTGTCGCTATGACAATTAGTCAAATATGCCCTATAATTAGTCTTTTTTTTATTAATTTATTTTAAGAGAGCAGATTTTAAAACATTGCTATGTTGCTTAGATTGTTGGAAATGTTAAAAAGTTTATGACCAAGCTGTGAAAATTTTCATGCATAATTTAAGTATAAATGATATCATTCTATATAAAAGAACAGGTTTAAAAGATACGGATTAAAATAAATAATATATGAATAAAAAAAACACTGTTTTAAAGTTTTACTATTTTATTTATGTTTTTTAAATTATTAACAATTATTGTTTCGCTACACAGTAGCTTCTTCAGAATTAATACATATTTTTATTAAGTAGCGGTATTTATATTAACTAATGGCAGGTAATTTAAGAAAATAAGTGTTGTATAAACATTATACCTGATGGTATTAATAAAACTTACACAATTTGGAAATTCATATCGAATATAATTTTATAATATTAATAAATATTATTTTTTAGTACTACAAGTATACATTCTAAAATAAATTTAGCAAAGTCGAGCTGGTTTCAATTTGGTCATTAATAGAGATGCGACTTGAAAAAAAAACGGTCCTTTTTTTTTGTTTTTTTCAGGTTTTTTTTTCATTGATTTTTTTTCAAATGTTTTTTTTCACATTTTAGGTTTTTTTTCAAGATTAGTCCCATTTGCCTAATTTTTTATGTTTCCATGGACTAAAATTAGCAACTAAATGACAATTATTAAATGTAAATATAGTCTCGCGTTATGCACTCGCCACAACCACCGATTTAACCAATAGGGCCGTATTTGTTTTGATTTGGTCCTAAAAAAAGTAACTACATATAATATTTTTGATTCAGCGCTTGATTTTTCAAAAAGCTATAGCTATACCAAAAGCACTTTTTTATGATTTTTCAAATTTATGTAGAGTATGGAATTTTTTTTTTCAAAAAAACAATAGCAAATTTTTGTAGACCATTTATTCATTGGTGGTCAGAACATTTCGTGGACCAAAAATGAAATATAATTCAAGCTTCAAATTGCTTTTTTTACGGCTCCAATACGACCATTTTTAACAAATATACAGCTATCCGAAAAATCGCAAAAAAAATTTTATCTTTTAATTTTTTGTATTAAAGTTTTACATTGCTATTGGTTTTTTAAAATTTAATTTTGAAAAAAAAAACAAAAAAAAAACGTTTTTTTCTAGTTTTTTTTCATGTTTTCTTTCACATCTGAAAAAAAACCGTTTTTTACATCTCTATAGTCATTAAGAACAATATCAGATTTTTTCTTTAGTTTATTAATTTCCAAAGACTCCAGAAGATTTAGTTTGGTACCTTTATTGGCTACACGTAATATTCTTTAAAACTTTAAAACAGTGTTGTTTTTATTCATATATTAATAATATGGAGTTTCATCAAGTAAAGGTCGAAACAATCAACAATTTAAAATAAATAGATTATTGCTTTAAAGAGTCTATTTCTTTCATGTAACTTTTAGAACAAACCACCATTGTATTTTAACATTGAAACCGCCGTATTGGTCTGTTCTAAAATGTTTAGAAATTAAATTTAATCTTTAGATTTACGAAATAAATGTTAGCTGTTATAAAAAATCATTTTTTATATACAATATAATAATAAAAATTCGGACAATTTTTCATTCATCAAAATGCTAAACCAATCATAAATATAATTTGTCATGTCATCTATAGAAAAATTGCATTCCAGTCAGGTTTTTTACTTTAGCCGTGCGCCTTATTTGGGATTCCATTAATCAAATGGAAAATATCTCAAGAATCAAATTATGCCTTTCCCTTTATCCCTTAATATAAGGAAAAAAACAATAAAACAATTTAAAATTTAAGTCACGTTACAATAAGTTTTCCGGCTATAAATCATTGCGATCTTTAGTCTCACCCCTCTTTTTTGACTCTCCTCTCAACTAAACTTGCCTAAGTATTTTATCCCCCAGATGCTTGCACTTTTAATCGATTTATTTCGACGGAAATTCTGATTTTACAAGCAATACTTGCCAAATCAACATTTTTTTAATAGCATTTAAAGCGTAGATATTCAGAAGATCCGAACGATATTTTTTTTATATAGAATATTACTTTTATTGTTGTATTTTTAATTTGAAATAAAATCACTTTTTTAACCCTTCGTCATGAAAACTACCATAATCAATTAGGATCTCGTAAAGCAAACCAACAGAAAAAAGGGCGCCGGCGCACACTGGGAGGGATTTCAAAAATCGCGGACAAAACCTTATTTTGTGAAAATCAACAGCAAATTTTAAATTGCGAGTTATAAAAAAAGAAAGCCCAGAGATTATGATTTTTGCTATGGTATATTTTACCACATTCCTTATCCTTGTTCTTTCATATGAAAATAAAAATTACAAATTTTACAAAAAATTAGGTTTTTCTAAACCTTTTACCATTGCCCTTCAACGAAGATAAATCTTTTACAAACCAGAAGATATTTCTTTAGGTGTGCGTTGGTGTGAAGCAAAGTACGTATTTGGTACCAGAACGTTCATCAAATTTTTTTTTTTTTAAGGGAAAAGAATTTAGCTAGGTTAGGTAAAAAAACGTGGATTTAACAGGTTTTGCTCTTATATCAACTTTTAAATGTAATTTTAACATCGATATAGGGTTTTTTGGGCCAAGTCACTTTAGTAGTCTATATACAAAAATAAAGCTAAAGATGCGAAATTGACAAAGAAAAGATGTACCGAAAAAAATGGATATAAATGATTTTGCTCGAATATTCCTTAATTGTTATTATTTTTTTTGTTTTGTTTTCTATTTTTAACCTAGGTAATATTGCGTTATTTATTTGTTTATTAATTTATATTTTTGAAGAATGGAAGATCGACAAAACCGAACTCTTCCAAACTGTGTATAAAAATGTTGTGAATTTTTGTACATTATTAAAACATTTTATCATTATTAATATTTTAGCATAAGGGTGATTCTACAAAAGTTGGACAACTTGATGTCATCAGTCAATAGAGTAGGTATTTTAATATTTTTTGTAAATATTTTAGTATATTACAAAAGATGCAGGTTTTTTTAACCAATTTTTTCAAAAGCACGTTTGTACAAAAACATAATAAATATTCAAAACATCAGTACCTTGGCGTGTCACAACTCCTGAATCAAATATTTGAGGAATTTTATTTTAAAATATATTCAATTTATCTTTAATTTTTCAATTTCACTACAAACTATAAAACATTAAATAATGTATTTTTCATATTTTATCATAGATTCGAATAATAGCAATTTTTAAAAAATTGATAATCTGTGTACTCACTTTTACCCGTCAATTCTGTGTCGAATGTTAAAATTCAAAATTCCTGCGAAATATTGAAGTTTAAACGCCAAGTCCTCGTTTTAACTCAAGTGTTGGTAAAAAAATTACCTACAAAGCCCGCCCTTTGCACGACAGTCATCTTAAAAACAATGCAAGCGGCGAAGTTGTGGTGAATGCACGTATAGTTCCAGTCAAAATTTCAGTACTGTGGTGAGTAGTTATTTTCTTACGTATATATATTTCATTGTAATTTATATAAGGCTATATGTGATTTGTTGATGTTTCGGTTATCTTTTTTCCGCAAACTTCAATTTAAATTCTGCTTGCGCAGAACTTGTTTATTTAATGTCATTATAAACTCATATAAATTTGGTGTGGGTCCCATATCTAATAATTGAGATATCGGTATACCCAAAATCCACCAGCCGCCACTGATGTGTTGTATTATTTGATTTTAAGATATTTAATGTATAATATGCTTAAAGTTGCAATAAATCTTATATTTTCCAATAAATTATGTATTTAGTTAGTACCCTGGTATACTCGTCACTTCCCTGGCATTCAAATTTAGAAAACACAGATATTTCAGAAACTGTTTGAAAAAGTGACTGGCCCGGTCTGGAACAGTATATTTATTATATTATCTATGTTCTCATAACAAAATACTGTTTAAATTTCTCTGAAAACTATATAAACTAGTTGCCTAACTCTTGTAGAATCACCCATAAATTTATTCCCGCTAAACCTTAAAATATTGTAAAATAATGTGTCCCTAATTTTGCCCGCGATTTTTGAAATTCCTTCCACTGTGCGTCATCGCGGCGCCTTGCTAAATAAGAAAATCGCGGTCTTTTACTAAGTAAGTCTAGGGTAAAAGGGGTCCGCACTGGGAACTTCTGGGAAAGCGTGGCTTTTTACAAATTAATGACGCGTAGATGAAAGGGTAATTGGAAAAACAGGGCTGCCTATGCAATTCGGAAAGAACCAGTAAAATATTTGACATTAACACACGGTTTGATGTATTGAAAACAACACCTCCAGATTTCTTATAATGATGATTTATCGACTCTCTTGAAGTTAAGGTTTTCCTTTTAGAAACCGTTTTAGTTTAGGTATTTTACCAAATGTATTAATTCCTACACATTGGATAGTGCATGCTCTTCGTTTATAATTGACAAAAAACCGCTTGTGTGGGGTATTTGGTTTTCGCAAATTTGAATATTTTCGAAACAGTTGTA